TAAAAATCACCTCTGAATGGAATAGGAACCGTTGATTCGAATCGAATTTGTAGTAATAACTGCAAATTACTGGAATGTACTTTATCATAATTAAACGCATAAAATCAAGGTGTACTCTAACTGCCCCCCCCAAAAAAAAGATAGATCTACCTTGTTCCTAAGGAAGGAAATAAAATGAGCAGAAGCCGGAATTGAAGAAACAACCTTAAACCCAGTATCTTTCACGTATCATTAAAATGGTTGGATTTCATTCCCATTAATATTTTTCTAACATTTTTTTGTGACAATCTTTTCATGCTCATAAAATCTAATTTTAAAAACTTTTCCGAAGAAATCAAAATAACGTCCTTCTAATCTCTTTTCTCCCAACGCAATATGCATTCTCCCCTTCAACATCCCTTCCCCCTCTGGGGTGTGTGTGTGTGTGTGTGTGTGTGTGACCATAGACGACCCATACTAATCAGGTCTCAGAGTAAATAGCAGCGCAGGGCGATCTCAATGTAAATTGCGCTTGTCAGAAGCACACCCCCTCCCTTACTTTCTCTCCTCCTCCCCTCGGCATCCCAGTCAGAAGGTAGCTAAGAGGGAGGGGAGACGGGAAAAAAAAAAGAAAGAAAGAAAAAGAAGTGGGGGAGGGGCTCTCCAACCAATGGCGTGCAGGAGGCTTGGCTAACCTTAGCCTCCCATTTTCTCTCCCCCCACTACCACCCCCCCCCCCATTCAGGGCTCTGACCAGTCAGTCGCCTTTGATTATCAGTTGCCAGCAGCCCTTCTCTTGGCTCCTTGACACGAGCTCCATATAAGGCAGCGATCTCCATAGAAACGTGTCAGTTTCAATAGTAGTGTCAAAGTTCACTATATACAGACATTCGCACAGATCCCCCTTTCGGAAACATTGCTCTGCGAGTCCTCCCGTTTAAACGCATTCAATTTTTGTGTCTCTCCTCTCTCTCTCTCTCTCTCTCTCTCTCTCTCTCCTCACTCTCCCTCACTCTCCTTTCTCTCTCTCTCTCCCTCTCTGGGTCTGTCTCCTCTCGCCCTCTCATCTCTCCCACTCTCCCCTCTCTCCCTTTTCTCCTTTCTTACATATTCTATTAGTTGTTTCCCCCTTATTCTTCTTCTCCTTCTTTCTCTCCTTTTCCCCCTCCTCCTGTCGCTTTTACTCCATTCTTCCACAAGGGAGAGGTCTAAACTTAAAAAAAAAAAAAAAGGAGACACCCCCTTCGTATTCTTCTTATCGTTATTTTATACATATATGATTTTTTTTTTTTGGAGGGAGGGTGTTGGTTCCCGGCTGAAGAGCACTTATTTAAAATACTAAAAAAAGAACATTTTTGGGCGATCTCCAGGGTTTTTTAACTAGCTCTGTGTGTTATAGCAGAAGAAGCAGAAGAAGGAGCAAGAAAGAGGAAAAGAAGAGGATTATTTATTCGACCTACTTTGGATGTCTCTCTCGCCTTTTTTCCCCCCCAATTCTTTTTCCTCTGATTTTATTTTTTCCTATTTCGCTGTGAATTCTTCGCCGGCGTGAATTATCCTGTATTTTTCTCCCCCTTCCGTCACCTCCTGAAAGAAGAAGGCAGCGAGAGCCCCGGCGCCACCGGCACAACAAAAAGAGCAAAGTGTGTGATCCTCCTCGCCGGCTGCCTCCCGCTCTCCAGCGCTGCCTTCCTGAATGGCTGGCTGCGTCCGGCCCTGGACCTGGCCCCCAGACACCCGCGCGCCCTGATCGCCGCCGGCAGCCTCGCCCCGCGCCCTGCACTGCTCTCCGCGCTTCCCGCACTCCCAAGCCCGGCCAGGGCTCCCGCCGGGACAGCGGCGGCGGCACGGGCGGCTCCAATCCCGGCTCGCGCTCCAACTGCAGCCCCGGCTTCGGCTCGGACTCCAGCCTCGGCCCCGGCTCCTCCAGCGGCGCTCGCCGCAGCCCCTGAGGCGGCGGCTCCAGCGGCGCCTGCAGCCGCGACCTCCTCCTCCACCACCACCGCCGCCACCGCCTCCGCCACCGCCACCGCCTCCGCCCTCGCCAGCTTCCTC